GTATTGTTAGTTTCAAGGGCCTGTGTTGTTAAGTACACAGGTGCCTTAGGTTCCTGTGGAAGGATCTTCTGGAGTAAATCATAGCAGTTTTGTAGACTACAGTTACCATGTGTTGGAGAGATTATCACAGTAAAAATATACTCTAAAAGAGGTTAATTTCTGATTTTGGTGCCAAAGTTAGAGTCTGTTTCTTTGCCTAGACAAAGGGTGCAAAGATGTGGGAAGCATTGCATTTTACTGGGAAATCTTTCCTAGTTCATGGAAGCAGGTGGCCTGGTTGACTCAGTAAAGGGACATGGATATTGAGGAAAACATTTTCTTAAATACACGAGTTGTTATTTTCTTGTTGACTTTTGCCAGTCTCTATTTCCTGAGTTAAAGTCCCTCGATTACAACATTACTAATAATATTATTAATCTTGGTTTGTTTTGGGGAAATTGTTGGGACAATGCTGTTTTGTAGAGAGTGTTCTAAATGTTTTGTATATATGTTTTGACATATTTTTTTAAAGTAGGAGACCTGCATTTTCAAAGAACAGATAGATATCCATAGATGAATAGATAGAAAATAAAAAAATTATAATATGTTTTGTTGGGGAAAAGCACGAAAGTATTGTGTATTTGATTAAATTTGTGCTATGTTTTAACTACATGGGTATTGAATTGAATGTCTCTTCTGCCTGAAAGGAAGAAAGTACTCATGCATCAAATTCAAATGCATCAGAAGTAAAAGATGAAGTGATGGCTTCATCTTCTGAAAATTTCAAACCAAGGAAGAAGACAGCACACACACACACACACACACACACACACACACACACTCTCTCTCTCTCTCTCATGCATTCACACATGAAGTGGGACAGAGAGAAGAGAATCGTTTAATACACAAACTCTCATTTTCTAAGTGAAATATAAAACAAAGAACTGGGGAACTTTATACAAATTTATTCCTTTAAGACTTGTATAAAAGAATGTATCATAGATAATTATATCTATTTTTATTTTAAAATCCAAATCATTTTAAAATACTTTATAATATTTCCCACTTCTCTCTCTTTTGTTTTCTTGTTTACTGTTGAGTCAGATACAACTGGCACAGAAGTAGATTGCCCATCCTCCAGTGGAGCATCTGGTGGAGTCGAATGCTGCACCTTTGGGATTGCATTGCAGCTTCCTCTTACTATGCCACCAGAGATCCTTTATTTGCTCTTTCTTGAATATTATGCTTATGTTGCCTAAACACTAAATATTTAAATGGTTAGTTATAACTAGTATTTCTCCTTAGTCAAATATACACTTGAGAAATAACTGTGACATAAATTGTAGTAATTTTCATATCTTTATCAAGAAGTATATAAAATGAAAAAAAAAACACCCAACAATTAACTCCATTGTAGTAGCTCAAAACACATTGCCAGGGAGCTGTGGTGGCCTAGAGGCAAGAAGTTACACTGCAACTCCAGAGGTCCATGGTTTGCATCCACCAGATGCTTTGCTGGA